AGAAAAGAAAGATATACTGGTCTTATCAAACTTCGATAGCATGGAAGAGACATTTGACTTCATACTTTTTTTTCTCCAACACGTGCTTGTCGATGCGTTTTTGTCGGCGTCTAATACTAGGGCCCAGGGATTTCTTGCCTACGCTATGCAAAATTTACTCAGATTCTGTGGTCTTGATTCAGCTGTTACCCAGCGCTCTCGCGATGTCCAGGCAGATAAAAAGTATGAACGTTGGTCAGAGCTTCCTGAGACGGTTCGCAACACTCTGACCCCCTTTCTTACGTCCAAGTATACGGTCACCGTTGGCGCTGTTAATTCAAGCTGCACTTACCCATTATTCTCGGCTACTCTAACGCATGGTGAGTGGCTACGGATCTTTGTACAGGATCTGCTACAGAAGGGGAGTGGTGACAATGCGAGGCTTGTGTTCAGTGTATCTAGTCGCATTGTAAAAGGCCAGGACATATCTATAGCATCCTTTCTTCTGCCATTTGCAGTGCTGAACCGTATAGTTGGAGGCACCCAAAAAGAAAAGGAAGATTTGCTTCACGAACTGACAAGCGTTCTATCTCACCCACTTCCAGAGTCCACTAACCATATATATGAAGCTATTCTATTGTGCAGCCAGGTAAGTGCTTTGTACGGAACATCGGAGAGGTCCATAGGCACTGAATTAACTTCCTCTCGCTTTGGGTATAGAGCATTTTCGAAATCCTCGACTACCTTTCGAGATGGCTACAAGGGAAGAAAAAGCAGCTCAATAGTCTTAGGAGTCATAACTATCACGCAAGCCGCTCTCACAGGAAGGCGTGCCCGGATTCACGTTTGGATACAGATGCATCCCAAGTCAAGGCTGTTGAATCCCTGCTAGCTTCTATACCGCCCGAGGTCATTTCCAAAAGGGCTGTTGAGTGTAGATCATTCTCAAGAGCACTTTTTCATTGGGAACAATATATTCGTCAGTCTAGGAACAAACAGACAGACTCTAAGGATATCGAACCTCTTTTTCAGCGTCTCCAAGATATCTACAGTCAAATTGATGAGCCAGACGGCATTGAGGGCATATCAAATCACCTGCACGCACTCAACATTGACCAACAGGTTCTTGAACATCGGAAGGCCGGGAGATGGGCTACAGCACAAAGTTGGTATGAGCTACAACTCGAGAAGGAGCCCAACAATGTCGATGCCCAGTGGAACCTTCTTACATGTCTTAAAGAATCAGGACAACAAGGTATTTCCTTTGACGAAATATTATTAACTCAGCAGTTTGCTAACCCCAACACAGATGCCATTCTTACACGATTTGAGATCCTCCAAACCACCGACGCAGGCCCTAGGTTTGTCCCGTTTGCAATCGAGGCATCTTGGATCACAGGAAAATGGGAGAAATTGCGCAGTTACCTTCAGCTTTACTCACAACAAGGAATAGGAGATTTTAACATCGGGGTCGGTTTGGCACTTGATGCCATTCGTCAGGGCAATAATAATAGATTCGAGGGTATTATTAGTGGGCTGCGACTCAGTGTTGCGAAGTCTCTCAATGCCAATTCCGTGGCATCTTTGCAGTCGTGTCATGACAGCATCCTTAAGCTGCACGCCTTAGCAGAGATGGAATCTATAGCTGGCTTGGACCCACGAAATGAGAAGGATACACTTCCCAAAATCCGCGCTGCTTTGAGCCGCCGTTTAGACATTCTAGGAGGGCATATATCTGACAAACAATACCTTCTTGGTCTAAGGCGAGCTATGATGGAACTGACGTATGTTGCTCTTGACATATTTTTACTGAATGGATTAAGCCTAATACTAACGCATATACAAGGTGCAACTTCCCCAATTCAGACATAGCTGATGCCTGGCTTGCCAGTACTCGCCTTTTGCGCAAGGGCAATTTCACTAACCAAGCGTATCAGTCGATGCTTCATGCAGCTCGTTTGAAGAATAGATCAGCCACTATTGAGCATGCTAGACTTCTGTGGAAGGATGGTTACCATCGTAAAGCAATACAAACATTAGAAGGAGCAATAGCTGCCAATGAATTTGCTGCAGACAATACGTCGGATGGCCCTGATTCTGTCTATCTGGTCTCGAATCATGAAAGACACCAAAATCTACTTGCCGCCAGGGTAATGTCTGGACCTCTTTTAAATTGTGGAATGTCATAACTAATATAAGGGGCTCAGGCTCATCTTTTGTTAGCGAAATGGACAGACAGGGCCGGGCAGACGCAGTCAGATGTCATAGTACAGAGGTACCGAGAGGCCATCTACCTACATTCGAGGTACTCGCACAATTTTTCCTAAGGCTGCCTCGTACTAACTAGTATCAGGTGGGAAAAGGCCCATTATTACCTGGGAAAGCACTATAACAAGATTTTAGATTTGGAGAAGGCCAAGCCACTAGGGAAAGAAGCACAGATATAGTGAGTCCCTTTGCTCTCCCGTGTCTCGTCTGACTTTTTTTATTATATACTAACTATTCCTAGTTTAAGTGGTGAGGCTTCTAAATTGGTGATGGACAATTATCTCCGATCTCTAGCACATGGGAATAAATATGTTTTCCAGTCATTACCCAAAGTTCTCACCCTTTGGCTGGAACATGCGTCTACAGTTGATCAGCCGTTTGATCCAAAGAGGGGGAATAATGAGTACGTGAAGCATTTGTCCTACAATCTACTCTGATTCATTCAGGGTCAGATTTTATTCGGTTGGCGAAGAGCTGCTAAATAAAATGTGACACAGAGACTTTCAAACACATACCTTAAATCAAAGAAAAAAAATTCTGGATGATATGCATTCACAACTAAAAAAATACGTCAACCGAATGCCCGCTGCACTGGTGAGCACTTTCTAATGGTTTAGTACTCTCAGAAATTACTAATATTTTCAGCTGTTCACAATTCTTCCTCAGGTGGTTGCAAGAATCTGCCACCCGAATACCACCGTCTATGACCTGTTAACGAAGATAGTCGCCAAGGCGGTAAATTTCTTTCCTCAACAAGGGCTATGGATAGTGCTTGCTGTGGTCAAGTCGTCTTCGAAGGATAGGGCATCCAGGGGTATGAACTGTCTTCAAAAAATTACGGTATGGTTACCTATGCAATGAGTAGTTCTGGGCACTAACAAGGTACAAGGAAGTAAACAAGAAGTTAAAGACGGAAACACCGTCAGATATGCGCGCGATGATCAACCAGGGGCAAAGGTTCTCTGAAGAAATGCTAAAGCTATGCGTAGCGCGTGTCGAAAAGGCCTCCATAATCGACCTAGAGCAAGATCTGAAGTTCGATTCTAAAGTTGCGCCTTGTCGACTTGTTGTGCCATTTCAAGCATTGTTGACTCCAACTCTACCGGCAAGCCATGATGCAGAGTACCTCAAGGGATTTAGGGCTTTCCCTAGAGACCCAACCACTATCGAAGGTATATTGTGATGTTTTGTCTCCCCGTGGTACATGAGTGAGACGTGCATGCCTAACTGTATTTAGCTGTTCTTAACGATGCTCAAGTCCTGAACTCGCTTCAGAAACCACGGAAGATCAGCGTTCGAGGGTCGGATGGAAAAATTTACAATATCCTCTGCAAGCCGAAAGATGATCTCCGCAAAGACCAGCGCCTCATGGAGTTTAACAACATGATCAACAGGCTCCTTAAAAGGGATGTTGAATCAAGCAAACGACGCATGTGTAAGAGCCCATCTCAGCTGCGAAGACGTTGTAAAGGCTGATTAAAGAAAGATATCAAAACATACGCGGTTACACCTTTGAATGAAGAATGTGGACTGATTGAATGGGTTGATAATCTCCGAACATTGAGGGATATTGTTAGCAAGCTGCTGAGGGAAAGGGGCATCGCGCCAAATGTAGGAGGCATCATGAAACTTCTTACCATCTCTATCTGGTTGAATAGCTGACGCTTCCACAGTACACAGAAATCGGACGTTATCTCGATGAAGCATGTTCCGAGATCTCGAAGTTGCCTTTGTTTACCACCAAAATACTACCAAAGTATGTTCCCAGATGACCTACGATTGCAAGTAGTATGGCTAATACAAAGTATAGGTTTCCCCCAGTCCTACATGAGTGGTTTGTTGAGATGTTTCCAGAGTCTGGAACATGGTTTGCAGCAAGGCTTCGCTATACTCGGTCTTGTGCAGTCATGTCAATGGTTGGATACGTTCTAGGGTATGTCTGTACTCGTTACGTATACCTTCTCTTCTAACTTACATTCATCGAAGGCTCGGAGATCGACATGGCGAAAATATCCTATTCGAGGAGGGCACTGGCGGTATTTTGCATGTTGATTTCAATTGCCTTTTTGACAAGGTAAGAACTTGAATTCCTTTAGTCTTTCCGCCCCACATTAAGAGTGAATTGATATAGGGCTTGACGTTCGACAAACCCGAACTAGTTCCGTTTCGTCTCACCCAGAATATGGTGGATGCATTTGGAGCTTATGGGTACAATGGTATGTTTAGACCGAGTCTGTAGTTTGCAGAGTTCATCACGGTTAACCCTGTGAACAGGACCGTTCCGGAAGACGTGCGAAATAAGCCTTAGTTTGCTCCGGCAAAATGAGGATGCTCTGATGACTGTACTTGAAACATTTTTGCACGATCCAACAACAGACTTCATTGGGAAGAAAGTAAAGGTAAGCACATTTATTCTTCAAGTGTCACTGCAATGCTAATATTTAACGAAGCGACGCACCCATGTTAGTGTTCCAGTGACGCCTGCAGGTGTGCTCGAAAATGTCCGTAATAAACTCCGTGGTCTTCTGCCTGGGGAATCTGTTCCATTGTCGGTGGATGGCCATGTAGATGAATTGATTGTGCAAGCAACCGATGAAAAGAACCTCGCCGCGATGTATATTGGTTGGTGTGCATTCTTCTAGACCTACTCATCCTAAGCATGCCGCATTTCGATTTACCACCTACCCTCTTTGCATCGCGCTCATTTAGTTTTTAAGGAGTAAAATGTAGATTAACAAAGCAGGCATTGTCTCTAATTATGCCCCGCACATAGACCTTAAACTGACTCTTTGTACTATTACATAAATACAATGTTACCAATACTTGCTCAACCCCCTAGAGCTCCTAGAGAAAGAATCCAGTGAGCAGAAAGTTGGAAAGCTCGTCTTGTGGCTCTACGCCATTCACCTCCTTTGCGGACCATATCGACTAGGGCCTCTGTTCCTGCTGGGGCTTCTACTTCTGTCACTGTGGCTGCTGTAGTCATAGCTGCTATAACTAGGACTACGGCGCCTACCACGTCGCGGGCTGCCAGAGCGCAGCTGTCCCCTCCTCCTCGGTGGGGACGCTGACCTGAGTTCCGATGATCGAGAGCGACGTGGCGATCGTGATCGAGATAAAGACCGTGGGCGATAAAGGTCGTGTCTTTCCATGGGCCTAGTGCGACCGAACCTTCTCAGATGGGGAGGCGATCTGGGGGGATAGGGAGAAGGGCGAGAATAACGAGAGTCTGGTAGCTGTCCACGGCTGTGCCTTTGACGGCCGAAGCTTGCCCTGCCGCTCTGGGGTGGTGGTGATCGGGAAAATGCTCTTCGGGGAAGAACAATAGAAACATTAAGCACAGCCCCATCGAGCTGGGCCTCGTGCATGTGTGCAATAGCCGCCTCTGCATCCGCCGGGTCGTTGTAAAGTATATATGCTGTTCCTCGATTTGTCATAACTTAAAAGAGTGTGTGCGTTAGACGGCCATGGAGTGATAAGGAGATCTGCCCATACATACAAGCTTTGTTCATAGGGAGATCCAGGCTGTCTATTCCCCCGAAGCTCCCAAATATTTCTCGAAGGTGTGACTCCGTTACATTCTTTGTGAGTTTTTCAACAACAATCTATGGTATGTAAGCTTCACAGAAAGGAGCAGACAGGGCAACAGTAAACAATAGAACAGACCTTTGAGCTCCTTGGCAGGCTATCTGAAGGGCTAGGAGTCCTACTATAACTTCTGTCTCTACACCGTCGGGAACCTCGACTGCGGCTGCGGCTCCGACTACTCCAGCTTCGGCTTCGGCTTCGGCTTCGGCTTCGTGACAGCATCCTTGATCGCGAAACAGAGCGAGATCGGCTCTTGGAGCGGTAACCGTTGCGATTAACATGATCAAATGATGCGCTTCGCTCGCTCCTGGGTCTGGGCTCTGAACGAGGGGACATCGTGCGTCTCATTGGGGTTGAAGCTTGCTCGGGATCAGGGTCAAGTGATGGTGAGTGGTTTGGCGAGCGACCTCGAACCATCGTAGACATAGCATCACACAAATGTGCCAAGAACCCCGTTTGTTTCAGGTTTAACCGTTGAAGGGTAGTACATATGTATGTAAGAGCTCGAACAGCGTCGATGTTACGGAGTAGAGTAAATTGTTATGGGAACCTAACGGATGTGATGTCTAAAGCTAGCTGATCCTGGCTAGACTAACAATTAAGCTCCAATTGGCCAGGCCTTATTTCCCCACTTTGCTGAGGCGTCAAGTTTTGGTGAGAAAATCGAGGTTGGGTCCAGCGAGACATTTGTCCTTCGATACGGAGTAGATGTTTATCCATCAATGCCCAGAAAAATATTAAATTTACAAATCCTCACCCCCCTTAACCAGTATCAGCTAATGGTGATATAGCAGTTGTGTCTTCTTCCCTTTTTTGTTTTTGTTGCTTCCACGCACTTAACATTGCCCATGAACTCAATCTGTCCAAAGCATGCTTTAGTGAGGTAACCATAATCTAAATATCAATTGAATCCCCCCATTGTTCGTATTGCTGGATAACACTGTCTGTGATCTGCCTCTTGACTTGCTTGAGCGCGATTTCGAAGTGCCCCCACCGAATATCTTGTGCTTGACCAGTCTCCTCTTCCTCGTCCAATGCGGCATCTCCGGCAGTCTCGCAGATACTCACAATTTCCGCTCCTGAGTAGCCTTCAGTCTTCCAGGCCAGTTCTTCCAAACTTACATCAGGATGAACAACAGATTTACGACACCAAATATTCAATATCTCTTTCCGCGCCTCAAAGTCCGGGGGTCCAATGTAAAGGATATTGTCCAAACGGCCTGGGCGCATCAAAGCCGGGTCAATTACCTCTGGTTTATTTGTCGCGGCGACGACTAAGACACTCTTCAACTCCTCAATTCCATCCATTTCGTTCAATAAAGTTGTGAGCACATTGACACCCCCTTGGGACGTACTACTGCGCTTTGAGGCAATTGCATCGATTTCATCAAAGAAGATAATACTAGGCCTCGCAGATCGTGCCTTTCGAAAAATATCCCGTAGGGCCCGTTCTGACTCCCCAACATACATGCTTAGAATTTCAGCACCTTTTACGGCCATGAAGTTCAGGCCTGCTTCCGTAGCAAGTGCTTTAACAGTTAAGGTCTTAGAGCAACCCGGCGGCCCGTACAGCAGAATGCCTTTCTTACTGTTTACATTGAGCCTTCTCATTCGTTCAGGATGCTACAGTCGTCAGTTCCATTCTTGTGGGTCGTTAATGGAGATACTCACTTTCAAAGGCCTCTCAACGGCCTTCTGAAGACGCCGTTTGATATCATGCTGCCCACCAATGTCCGACCATCTCACTTTCGGTGTCTCCAAAAATACTTCCCGCATCGCAGTTGGACGGGTTTCCTGTAGAGCCGTTAATACGTCGGCCTCTTGGACTTCCAAAGGCACGGTTTCCTTGGTGGCTAAGTCATCACTTGAGTCGCTGGTAAGCATAGACGTTCGGTGTAAATGCCAACTATTCGAGTCAGCTTTGTTGATCTGTCTCTGACGCGCCTTGCGACAGACGAGCTGAAGTAAAGCAAACAAGTCGGCTCCAACATAGCCATGAGTCTTCTCAGCCATCATATCTATGAGCCTATCACTCAGTACGGGAGATTTATATCCGCATATAGCGCGCAGGATTTCGGCTCGATCATAGGCTGTAGGGACATGCAGTTCGATCTCAGTCGCCAATCGATGTGGAGTCCTCAAAGCATCATCAACTTCGTTTGGATGTCGAGTTGCAGCCACAACAAGAACCATAGCACCCCTCGCAAGATCCAAACATTCACAAAGAACAGATGTCAAAGACTGAGAATCCAACGATGTCCGTTTGGGAGCAATGAAGTCGACTTGATCAATGACCACAACACTCGGCTGACAGCGAATTGCATCTTGAAACAGATTGCGTAGCTTAGTTTCGCCATCGCCAATATTCCTGCTGAATGTGGAAGACCCGATATTGAATGCTTTCCGCCAACCGGCGGCTTGTATTTGGCGAAGAAGGGCGCTTTTTCCTGTCCCCTTTGGTCCGTAAAGGAGAACTCCCCGAGTGTGCTCATAGAAAGAAGGCATTGCCACAATCCCTGAGCCCATGTTGAAATCAGCCAGGCTCTCATTAATACTATCAATCTGGCGGCCCATTCCACCCAGGCCAGATGACTGTACTTGTATATCAAAGCATTGGACTTCACTCTCTCCATCTGAACCATCGCCAATCAAGATTTTAGAATTCTCGGTAAACCGCAATAATGTGGTATGGGTGGTTTGATTCAAGGCCCGCATAGTTGCTACTTTAAAGCTCCTTCGTTGTCCCTTAAGCTCTAAATCAAATATCAATCCGACAGCGAGAGCATCACATCTGGCAAGAGGAAACTCTAGAGCCCAGGCCCAGTGGTGCCTCTCTGATGGCGGGAGGGGGCCATATCTCGCCATTCGTTCGATATCAGAGCATTCCACAAAAGAAATTGATTCAATCTCTCCCAGAGACCCATCGATTTTGGAAATAGACACCTTCTCACCAAGTTTGACGCCGTAGCAGTCCTGGAGTGTCCTTGAAGTCTGTACGACAGTAGTTTGTATGTTTTCGGTTGCGCTCCAAGCTATTACAGTCTTCGCACATTCGCCAGAGTAGTTCAAGGTACAAGCATCTCCGGCCCGAAGCTTAAGGGCAGCCAACGATGACGACGATAAATAAACACGAAACGCATCTTTATGGTCATTTCTCGCTTGTTTTGAAAGCGGTCGAACTGTGAAAAGGCGGGGTTCCGACATTTCGTGTGGGCTGACCAAATAATGTCCGTAAGCGAAATATCAGATCATATACAATATTGCAAGATGTAAAAAATGGCCGAAATCTGTATCAGGTATTCTGATGGCGCGGATATGACTGGACACTCTATACTGCAGGCATTGCAGTGCGTCTTTGCTACACAACGATGTTGAACTGCTTTGAAGTTAGGGAAGAAAGCAGAGGAATGGATGAAAATAAGAGGAGTAGGAGGAATATTTTAGGCGCGAATATCTAAGGGGAAAGGGCAAGGTAAAAATTGATAAGTGGCTCACAGATTTGTCCTCATCTTTTTTTTTTTTTATCTACCATATGGATGCGGGTTTAGATCACCGCCCCGCACTGACCCGTACCTTTCAGCGGGCAGGGTACTTGAGGTACGAAATCAACTACGGAAGTACCGAGAGAAATTTAAAACAGCCTAATATGGTATAGCGTATGACTCTGACGACCGCCTACTATCATGGGCATTTTCTGCCTGTGTAAAAGTCTGTATGTCGCTGAATGTTCTAAATTTCGAATACCTGTGACTGTAGTAGATTCTCGAGTTCTAAGATGGTCTTAACATCCACCATCTTGCACAGCAACCATCAATCTGAACAATTTCAGCTCCGCCCCCCTACCTAACGTCGGTCCTCTCTTTCCAACCGCTTAGATCAGCATAACCATTATCAAAATCCACCTTGTGTCGGAAGCGAATCGGTATGTTCTATAGCCCCCGGGGGCATTTACGGACATCCGCAACACGTCGACCAACTTCACAACTTTGGGGGCCATCAAAGCTGTCTCAAAAAATCACATGTCTTCTTAGCTCACGAGTGTCTACAACAAATCATTCCTTGGCTGAGATATCAGGAAAACTTCACGATGCCTCAGGAACAGACCCACCGAGTACGCCACGCATCGCGGATATTGTAATGGGAATAGAGGGCTGTGGTGTTACCATTGAACGTGGAAAGCTGAAAATAACATCAAGCGAGCGCAGTCGCCGAGGCCATAGAACAGCACTCATACTTTCGGGAGCGAGTCAATCTTTGGCTTCGTATGACTTTCGTAGGATGCTAGCATCTAAAGACTATAGCTCCAATGGGCTAGAAGAAGGTGTATCCATTCATACGAGGATAGAACGTGCGAATTGCTTTGACTAATAAGAGTTCAGTCCTACCTATACGAAATCGTCAAACGCTGCAACGCTCCGATTCTTGGCTGCTAATCTTTACCTCTCCGGCCTATGCCGCGGAATACCAACAAAAGGTCATAGAGTTGCAAGAACTATATCTTAAGCAGGCGGCTCCTACTGCCACGACGGTATTGAATATGCTGGCTGAAACATCCACAAATGGCAGGGTCAAACATAACGAGCACTTTAACTATGCACTCGGCTCATCACTACGTAATGTTTCTGTAGCAGCGCAGCTATACCCGTTTGAATTCAAGTTACGGCGCACAATGGGGATTCACAGAGGACTGCACCAATCAGAATCCTCTGGAAACAAGCTCTTCCCTGTGAAACTGCAGTTAGATTACCTCTCTTTTCCGTCTTTGGACTCGCATCATATCAGGAAGCTTCTTAAGCTAGATGGTATTATGAGAGGTCAAAGATGGGCTTTACCAAAAACAGATGCCGTTATCCAAATAGAACCGACAACTGTGTTGGGGCTATCCAAAATGAATCTTGAGGGTACGGGCAGTCTGAATCAGTCATCCGCCAATTTCATACGAATGTGGCTCGTTAATTTCCTCACTTCCTTCGAGGCTGCTCGTTTCGCTCGTGTCTGGCATCAGAGGCCGCTTCCAAAACTTGGAAATGAAGATCCCCATGAACCCAGTCCACGTGTGAAAGCGGAGTGCATTTTTTGATAATAGATGTTCTGTTATATCTTGGGACTTTGTTATTCGTTCAAGATGTTCTCTCGAAACCAGTATTAACCACAAGGCAAATTACTTTGCAAGGTATATTATTCATAAACCTTCTCTTCACATTATGATCGGTCTTAACTGAAGGGAAGCAGGACTGGCGGCTACTTTATTCCCTCTTTTCTCCATTATTTGTTAGGCAATAAGCTATACGCAGCAAAGGATGCTTTCATTATCAGCACGCATTCTTGCACCTTCTGCCAAATCAAAATACATGAAGTATGATGCTGATACTCGATGGCAACACTCATGTCACTTCATGTAACACAAATACCCAGTATAGCGTAACACAAGATTAAACAACGCCACCACACATATTTCGAACGACTGTAACAGAACAGCGGCCTGCCCCACGGCCGCAATTTATGAACATACATGAAGGGTGTTCCGCAAAAGGATTAGGCTCAGCGTCCATTGGAGCATGAGAGCCCTAGCTTGTTCTTATTCGAGTCAATGGCAGAATAGCTGTTTGCCAGAGTTCAGGGAGAAAAGGAGTAGGTGTGTAAGGTGGACAAAAGGTCAAAGCAGGAGGGTGTACTAACAAGCACATCAGCAACACTTGCCTCCCGTATTGCCATTCAGCCCCGGGCCTTGCTGATCTATGCTGACACCTTGCGAACCAGGCTGTTCAGATTTAGATGTGTCCATGCCTTTCTTAATTTCCGAGGCAAGATTGTAGAAGGCTTTCTCGATATTGATATTGTTCTTTGCTGACACTTCAAGGAAGGGTATGCCAAGCTCATCAGCTAGCTGCTGGCCCTGTTCAGTTGACACGGCTCTCTTCTCTTCCCAGTCACATTTATTTCCGATGAGAATTTTGTGAACACCTTCACTTGCATGCTGCTCAACGTTTGAGAACCATGTGCGAATGTCTGGGAAACAAGGTTAGTGCCACAGCCAAAACATTCCAACCTAGAATCAGGAGAGTAAGCCCTTACTTTGAAATGATCTTTCATCAGTGACATCATAGACCAGAAGTATGCCCATTGCCCCTCTATAGTAAGCTGTTGTAATAGTTCTAAAGCGCTCCTGCCCAGCTGTATCCCATATTTGAAGCTTTACACGCTTTCCGTCAAGTTCGATTGTACGGATCTTGAAGTCAATTCCAATAGTCGTGATGAAGGATGGGGTGAATGAATCTTCGCTGAATCGTAACAAACAACATGATTTTCCCACCCCAGAATCTCCGATCAACAGAAGTTTGATCTAAATGCCATCTATTAGTCTGTTACACACCAAAAAGAGCGGCTAAACTCACCAAAAAATCATAGTTTCTTGTACCAGCCATGATGAAGTAGACGCAGGTAGCGCTAAACAGAACAAGGTAGCGATGGATTCAGTCACACACGCCAAAAATGTCTCACGACAGTAGCTTCTGACAAAAGCCTGGTGATATTGCCGAGAAACTCAAGCCTCTCTGGCACCACCACAGTATCTTCTCTTTCTGTCCTTTATTCTTTCTTCCTTTCTTTCTTTCTTTTTTTCCCCTTCAAGAGAGAAAAGAAAAGCCTATCGATCGGTGCTCTAAATTCTCTTCCCACTTTAGTGATTCTTCTGCAGGAAAGCTGCAGCCACCGGATGGTGGCAAGGTAGGCTTGCTGGCTAGAAAGGACTCAAGGAACTCGGGGGCGCTATACGGGGAATCAGGGGAAAGGGCGGGCGAATATGATCACGTCTCCCGGTAAAGAAGGCGGTCTGTTTATGGGGATGCAACCTTGGAATATTGAAATATTGGGGTCGGTATCTTAGGCATCGGTCGTTCTGACATTCATCAGAAAGAATAGAGGGTGGCGGCACAAAATGGTGCCTGTGTGGATGAGCGGATGAGTGGTTTACGGAGTAAAGTAAGCAGCTAGGGATACAACGATATTATGTGTATGTATAGGCGGAGCGATCGGTACTTTCACTGTAACTTTGCTGTATTAAACTGGCTAGGGACATACGACACGTATGTACATACAAGCTGCATACCCCACACATCCGTCTCACTTATGAGAATATCTACTTCAGCCCTAACATTTATAATCTATCATAGTATTTGCATAGCTACTGGTTTGTATGTCGGGGTCTAGAGAGAGTCCTCATGAGGGAAAATCTTACTAATATATACGGACGGCCAGGCGCTAATCCAATACACTTTTCCCGTTACATCCCCCATTAAGCGCCAATATCACTAGTAACAGCCAGTATCAAAGCCAATACTCTCTTTAGGTCTTCTTGCTAGGATCTCATTCAACCAAAAGTGCTGATTTAACTTGCAAAGGTCTGTATGCTAATCGACCCCCCGAGCAATCGCGATCTGCCTCGGCTTTGGTTATATTCTTCATGTTAAACGTATATACATACCCTGGTTCCGAAAATCTTCAACCTAATATGCTCTTTAGCCCAAAAATAATAACTAGCCCCCTCGCCCCTTCAAATGAGAGCAATTAGTAGCCTGAGGTTCTTGACTAGCCGGGGAAAGCGCAACTCCAACAATGTAGTTACTGTGTCCCCAGAACTCCATCATTGCATCCATTTCGAGTAGACCCAGCCCATTCTGCCAACAATTTCAAGCTGCCGCACAACCATTCTCTGGTTAATGAGGTCAGCCACATCTTCTCTAAAGGCGCGGAGCTCTGTCCCCCTCAGAAGAGTTTCTGCTTTCTTAAGCAAAATCTCGGCATCGCAGATCAAAAGACCATGATCCCTGTATGCGAGCACGCCAGTATGCGCAGGGGTAGGCGATGTCAAAGTTCGATGAGCACTCCTATCCAAGGTCAGCACATCCCACATTACACCACATACTACATACCGCAGTGCATGTCTTAATTCATCCTGCCGCCTACCCATTCTCAGACCCTTTCTATTGTCAAAAAGACCCCAGAACCATCGAAGAGATGCGTATGAGACCAGTATACCGGGTGTGAGGCCAACGAATCTGCGAGCGTCAGCCCATTCTACCTCAATATACTGAAGAAAGCACGTACCCGAAAACGAGTTCCTGGCTTTTCAGCAAAGCGTCAATACCGCCAATTGCGATCTCGACATCTACCTTCGTCTTCTGGATTTGGATCAAGAGTGCTCGTACAAGGTCACCTCGTACAGTTCCGACAAAGGGGTTCCGTAGATCTTTTTCGTACGCTCTCAGTACTGGTGTTAGATCTCCCTCCCTAACCTTGTTTGCGATAGAACTGATATCAAGTACATAATCATCGGGCTTCGGTTCGCCACGATCAAGGATGAAGTCGACTACCATTCGTTCTAAGCTTGCCCGATCAGCCTCTAAGCTGTTCTTGCTCATCAAGGCAATCTCGCTTCTCTCATCATGCTTTATAGTTCTAATAAGCCTTTGAATTGGATCAAAAACCCAATTGCTCCAAAATTCAAATGTAGTTTCCACGGCACTAGCAAGCCATTTGATGATTTGATGGCGATGACTCTTCAGAACCTTAAAAGAGGTACTAGCTGTTAGGAACAGCATCGATAATGGAAGCCAGTATCGCACCAGACGCGACGGGCGCCGGTGCTTGTTAATGGTTGTCGATGCAAGGGTGTTGTGGGCAGGAAGGAGCCTAAGCAGTATATCATGGAGTTGCTTGGTGACTAGTTCTGGTGTTCGAATAGAGCGCTTGTCATCAGACTCTGTTTGGAGACACGCAAAATCCTTGTTAGTAGCCGAAAGAACGTCTTCCCCAAAATCAAGAATATCACTGTCAATCGACAACTTTTGCAGAAATGTCCCCATCAGGATCACACTTCTACATACCGTCTTACGCCAGTAATCATCGGCGGAAATGCACCTTGCCCAGTTACAATCATCGCCGTTTGCTTGACCAGGGAAACACTCTCTCATGAGGAGCCCGATACCATGGGCATTGAGGTCCCTCATTACATTCAGCCTTTCCCGCTTCCGCCTTATCTCAGACTTGGCTGCTACAAACGGTGACAGTACGTTTGCCTGTAGAGCATGCAAGTTTCCTGCTGCAAAGAAGCATCTCTGTATGGACTCGTAAAGATGTGACCATTGGACAGAGGCAAATGTAGGAAACCTTGCCTTGGCACCACTATCATTTCTGCTAGGGCGAGGCTTTACCAACATGCGCCAAATCCGGAAAGGTGATGTTTGAAGTGTATAAACACCGATGTGCCAATACGATCCCAGGATTGTGTCCCAGTAAGAGATTTCATCGCTGAGGAGCAGACTTCGATCTAGGAGAGACCTCAAGATCACCCCTAGAGTCTGTACGGTAGCTTTCGTAACTGCCAGCCACGTGAGTTCTAGTTCACGGTCCGTGAACGTAGCCGAAAGCAGCCCATATGGTTCATCCGGTTGACGGAAGAGCTTCAAAGTCAATTCCACAATATGCTCGGGAGGAAGCACCGGTCGGGACTTGGAGGGCACAGAGAGAGAGTTGATAACATTTTCTAAATCAGATATATGCTCTGAATTGGTGTCCAAGACATGCGTATGTTTATGGATCTCCAGTGAGGTAAAGTATGAGTCGTTGATTTCCTGCTTTATCTGGTCCAGCTGCGTATCTAAGCGGCAGATGTCACTTTAAATTTGTTAGCATGGATAAGCCCCAAAACAATATACATATATTGACCTACTTATTAATGACTGACATTGTCTGCCCTAGTATTGTGATTCTGCGTGTTTTAAAGAGGAAAGAAGAGGCTTTCTCCGGGGAAAATATATACTTCAAATATTGTAAATGGCGTCACTATGTCACCATTAATCTAACCTAAACACTATCTAAATATGTAAGAAAAACTGTGTATGGAGTACTGTAATTAATATCAGTTCTTGGCATAGTTTATTTTTTACTTTGATTAACTTTTGTCTTTAGACTAGCACCTAAGTGACTACAGAGTACTTTGTACAGAGTATCTATGTACCAGAAATTTTATTCAACGAGGTCTCGCGATCTCTAAAGCCCTAGGTGGCTAGGCCTTCTTCTCTAAAACGGTTTAGAGCCCTCAAATAACTGGCAAATATACATATATAGGAGCTTACATATCTTAGGCACTGTTTACAGTATTTAATGTACCTGATTTTAATATATAAAAATCAAGGGGGCAGACATCTATAATAATCTACGGAGTAGCAACCTACAGTATAAGATTAACAAGGTGACAACGCCCTATGGACCCGTGACCTGGGCTAGTGCAGTCCCTTCCCAATTAGACTTAATGTATGGAGTACTCTGTACTCTGTATCTAATATATGAAACTGTTCGGTCATATTTTACTATAATACCGACTGTACTTTTAGCAGGCCCCTAAAGTTTCCCCACCCCCTCAATTGTCAATACTCTCGAAAAACATATTAATACATACATGACATTATTGAGTGTTTGAGATACTTCTTGCCATATAACCATAGATGTACTCCGTACGTAACATCCCTATCTTATCTTTCACACTATCTGTACAAAGTATATAGATATATAGGCTACCTCAAACAACACAACCCAAGTAGGAAGGACTCATTGAGTGCAGTCACTACACTGGTGGTATCTAATATAAAATAGCCTAAACAGTTTCACTGAGTTCAACTCAGGTTACTACTAATACTCAGCCTCGAGACTTGTTCCACTCTTCCACAAACAGGGTGTATTACTATCAATCTGTTGGCTAGCTTGGTAGTAGAGCCTCAAAATCTAGTCGTATCACCACCTCAAATGTGTACCATGATGCAAGTGGGATATGTGATCATTCTTCAAAATCTTGTAACTCCCCAGGCTTCTTCTCCTTTGAGGTATACAGATTGAATGATACACTTTGCACTGCAGAGAAGACAACGACTCCCGCTAATCTGCGCTAGGTTCTCTGGGATGCGTAAATTTGAATTATTCCATGGCGGAGCGCATCAGTGTAGAGATTCTTCCGCATGGAGTCGTGATTTGACAGACCAGGGAGTAATTGAGATAGATAGGTAATTGTCATCTGATGATGTTTCGCATTGGGGCATGACATAGGTAGTAGGCTGAGGTGAGGTCAACAAGACTGCTAAAGATTGTATTTCCTGTGTTTACTTTAGCCTGAGTGCAAGATACTGAACTTCGAGCCGTAGAGGGAAGAGATATGGATGGGCCTAGGGTAGCAAAAGTACTTACGTTGAATGAATAACAATAAACATGATCTTAGTGGACAACAGCCAACATCAGTGGGGACTCGTCCTGTGGAGCACAACATCGGTCCAAATCGGCTAGGCGGTGGCGCCAGAAAAAGCCAAGGCAGAGTAAGGGGAACAGCAGAAAAAAAGGTCTCGCCACCTCGGGACTGGAGGTCCTTTGATCGCGCGCGGCTTTATGTCCCTGAAATACCGCCCACACACACCCTCTCATCTTCCAACCTTTTCAAAGTCTCCCACCAGCGCTGCCTCCTTTACAATCCTTCCCTTCCTGTCTTTTCCCTCTTCCCCCCCCCTCAATAAGGCCATACACATTGGTATTTATTGGTAAGATATTTGCAAGTGAGCGAGCCGCCCCTTGAGGACAAGTTTGAAAACACAATGTAAGCTTCTATCATTGCAATGGTTATTTTATATCTATGCTGACCCGATAAAGGAATTCGACGCTACTGTCGGCTCCCCCGGAGACTTACTGGGGCCAGTTTGAAGAAATTTCCAAATACAATACTCACTTGAATGTACTCGAGAGGTTGTGGACAGCATGGTATGCTTGGATGCAAAACGACGTCCTTGCGACTGGCATTATGTCTTTCGTTATGCACGAAATTGTCTATTTCGGACGCTCCCTACCTTGGATCTTAATAGACAGCTTGGGCCTACTCAAGGGTTATAAAATCCAAAGTGTAGGTTCATATCGCTTCCGACTCGAGAGATATTTTGCTAACTGGTTCGGAGAATAAAATTCCTTCATTGCGTGAGCAATGGGATTGCGCAAAATTTGTACTACTGAGTCATTTTACAGTTGAACTACCTCAAATCTGGTGTGTATCTTTTCCAATGTTTCGATTTCAACCTAACAATATTGCCGTCAGGCTATTCCATCCTATGGCTCAATTCTTTGGCCTTTCAACATCGGTTCCTTTCCCCACCTTTTGGACAATGGCCTACCAAATTGCAATCTTCTTTGTGCTTGAGGATACATGGCACTACTTCTCGCACCGAGCACTTCATTGGGGTCCCCTTTACAAGGCTATTCACAAGATCCACCACCAGTATTCGGCCCCCTTTGGCATGGCAGCTGAATATGCTTCTCCGATCGAAGTTATGATTCTCGGTTTCGGTACTGTTGGCTGCCCGATCCTCTGGTGTGCAGTAACCGGTGACCTCCACATTTTCACCATGTACGTTTGGATTGTACTGCGGCTGTTCCAAGCTATCGACGCTCACAGCGGCTACGAGTTCCCTTGGAGTCTCCATCATTTCCTGCCATTCTGGGCGGGCGCTGACCACCATGATCTTCACCACGAGAAATTCGTCGGTAACTATTCTAGCAGCTTCAGATGGTGGGATTATGTTCTGGATACCGAGTACAGCCCAGAAGCCATTAAACGACGGAGGGAGAACAAGGCTGCAGGAGATGCCAGGAAGGACCAGTAGTAGTGTTTTGGCAACCAGCAGTCGTCTCATCGATCTTGTTCTTTGTTATTTTTATTTTCATCCTTCCCCCCCCCCCCTCTTTGCCCCCTTCTCGTCGTCCCTTTCTTTCAACTCATCGATGGGTTATCTCGAAACTTGATATCGAGTATGGATAAACCTTGTTTATACATTTTCAAACCACCTACCTGATACAAAGCAGGCTTTCAATCCTGTTGGGGGGAAAGGTGGAGGTATCTATTATGTTATCATTGAATTATGGCTATACTGTGGTCCATGTATTAATTGAAGTAACAACATTAGCTAATCTATAGAATATTGATATACATCGCATAATTCAGTATATAGTGTGTTCATTGGTGATTGAAGTTACTAGGCCGAGAGAAAGTAACAGGAGCTAACAGGAGCTAACAGCAACTAGCCCGTATTCAGGGCTGTTCTGATATGAGAGATGTAGGAATTATTGTGATACTTCCAGTGTATGTCGACCGCCTCTATTACGTGCCTTTTTATTATACATGAGCCCACTCAGTAGTTTATTATCACGGCCGGGTATTCGTTGTCAATGTCATGCCCAGGTAGTCATTGTCAAGTCCTAACTAGTAAATTAATATATATAGAGATATACTTATCTACAGTTTATATAGAACTAATTTATTAATAGAATTAATAATTTATAGCATTTATAACTGTTACTATATTGATAATAAAAATTATTATTAAAATATTAATTAATATAAAATTTATTAAAAAAAATAAATATTTAGATATATCTTAAATTCTATATTTTATAATATTTTAATATAAACTATACTATAAATTATTCATAATTTATTAAATAATTTATTATTATATAATGGTAGCAATTTATCATTGGTATTATATTATACCCAGGGCTTCGTTATCAAGTCCTAAATTAGTAAGCTAATCTATGTTATAGCCGATTTTATTGATTGAATATATAGTTAATTGTTATAATTAATATTAGATAATAAAATTAAAAGTGTAAAAGATAAAATTAATTAAGATTTTAAAATAATTATAAAGATAGTAAAACCGTACTAATAAAATATTAAATTATAAAAAAAATATAAAATACTTAAATATATTATATTTTAACTATTTTTATAAATAATAATAATTTTATTAATTAAATATATATAATTTAGAAAATAATATAATAAAGAGATAAATAAATTAAATAATAAATTAAATATTATATTTTTTATAAATTTAAATAGGATTTTTTATAATAATATTATTAATATTAATTTATT